AATGGTACTTTCAGCTGTAATTATCTCTAGCAGGTTGCAAGCAGCTTTCTGTACAAGTAAGTAGTGAGAGCTGATAACTGATTTCTACCAAGAGCAGTAAATAATTTTTATGAAAGGCTTGACTGTACTGACTCCATTTGTCTCCTTTCCTCCATCCTGTGGACTCCTGACCCTGTCTGCCTAACCAAAGAGCTTACTCCTCTCTCCTTAAGACCCTGTAGCCGGCTGGAAGCTCAACTCATTGCCCTTGGACCCCGTCTCCTCAACGTGAAGCAGGAGAACCTCCATTTTGAACTCTCTATTATTGAAAACTTGCTTCCTCCTTTTTGTGTAAACAGAATGATTAAGATTCCTACTGTCTTTGCTAAATAACCCAAAACTCCATACCTTAGGAAGTTCTTAGAATCCTTGCTCCAGCCATGAGACCATTAAGATCCTATTGTGTTAAAGCAAGAACTGTAAAGTGCCCTTAGTAATTATTAACCTCCTGGATCTGGCTTCTGTATCTGCTTTCTATTAGAAGCCCCTCTCCCTTTCTTCTCCACCCCCTCCTCAGTGGTTACTGTTCCCCCCACATCAACCCAAATGTGCTTTTTGCCTTTACAAGCACCCTTCTCCCTACACTTGGGCTGCAGGATCTTTGAGAGACATGAAAGTGTAAGAATAAATTTAAACTGTTTTTTTTTTTCTCTGTTCTGTAAAAAATTTAACCTTTTGTCCTTTTACTTCTGTACTATGGCCGGGTAAACGCCCTTGTAATAAACTGCCCCAGACAGACTTAATTATGCAAACCTCCAGAAACTGAACAAACGGAATGTGGACCTAAAAAAACTAGAAAGACAACCCATGCACCTGTATCACAAGAGCTGCTGCTCTTCCCCTTATAAATAAAGTTACCGGTTAAACTTCTGCATACCTTCTCCTGCCTATAGAAATACCTATAACCCTAGAAACGGGGTCCTTGCTCGGGCTTGCGGAGTCAGGTGTTTGCTTAGACCCCAGCCGGCTGGAAAAATAAAACCTCTTGCATTTTACATCAAAAACCGACTCTTGTGGTTGATTGGGGGTCGCGTATCCTCTGGACAGAAAGCGCGCCAAAGCTGGTGGCCGGCGGCCTTTCAAAAGCTCCCGCAGTTGTTGTAATAACGACTTCTATAACTTGGCTATGACTACACGTCCTCTTCTCAAAATATAACCAACCAACCAACACCCGCACACCCACCCTGCCCCCGCCCAGCTTGGACTGGATCACCCCATTCCGGAGCTTCTGGAGTCCCCTTTGTACACCTGAATGCACACACCCACCTTCTGACAAAGCAGCTACTGAAAGCAAAGCCCAGATCGCCTCTTTCCTCACCCCGAACCTGCACACCCCGACGCTCCTGTCGCTCTCCCCACCCAGCCCGGACCAGGGGCTGCACCTTCCCTCAGGCACCCCTCCTCCTCCACCCAGCATCCCCCCACGTTTCTGCTCCCACCAAGGAAGAGGAGCACCTCTTCACGACTAGGGTCCTCAAAACCCGTAACCCTCCTTGTTCACACTCAAGACTCACCGTCATGGACACCGTGTCCGGCAGAGCACGGTCAGCACGGCGGCAGGTTCTCCCCAGCCACGCGGAAGGAACAAAGCGCCACAGGCACGAAAAAGCCGCCTTCCTTGGCCGGTGATGATGACGTAATCGGATCAAAGACTACATTTCCCACTGTTGGAATGCTGGGATGTAAAGTACAGGCTGGAAATGCAGCCGGCCTCGGGCACCAGAACTGCAGAGTCTGCTCTTGCTTCTCCCCCTTGGACACACCACCACCACCACCACCGCGTCAGGTATTCACCTGGACCCCAGCTAGCTGGACAATAAAGCCTCTCTTACACTTGTATTATTGTTGTCCTCTCTGCATCACCTGGGATTAGACCGATTCTGAACCTAACACCCACAAGGCTCTGCGATCCTGACTTAGGAACCAAAGTGAAATTTCCTGTGTTTTCACATGGAAAGTCCTGTTACCAGGAGACCAGAACCTGAAGAGAGAGGAATGACATCTATCCGGTGAGTGAGAGACAGGATCCTGGCTCTTTATTAAATCTTGGTGTGACATTTCAAGGATAATGGGGAAATTCATATGTGGGTCACTTAGTCAATGACATTAATAAGTAACTTAATACTCTTGTAGTTCTGATATAGTTATTTCTGTTACAGGCCACTGTTAGGTTCCAGAGATCGATCTTACCCCCGGTGATGCAGAGAGGACAACAACAATTTAAGTACAAGAGAGGCTTTAATGTCCAGCTAGCTGGGGTCCGAGCAAATACCTGATGCAGCAGGCTTTAGGAAGGACCCCGAGCCTGGGGTGAGAGGCGTTTTGGTAAGCAGGGGAAGGAATAAGGACGTGCAGTCAGTAAGTTTCTATGACCTGATTTATAGGAAAGGGAGGCTCTAGGGGGGAGAGCAGAAGCAGACCCTGCAACTCTTGTGCAAGGGTTGCTGCCAGCCCTTCAATCCACATCCTGTTTGTTTGTTCAATTGCCTTGAAGCTTGCAAAACCCTGCAGTTACAGGGACCTGGGGCAGGGTGTTTACAGGTTGTATCAAGTCCAGCAGTTGCAGGAGCTCAGGGCTGCAGGGGCCCCAGTGCTCTTAATGTCAAGATGGCCATCAACATTCCCAGTCCACATTCTTCAGCCCAACACCACCAACTCTTTTTAGTAATGCAATCTAAAGTGTGAAAATTAATGTGTTTAAATTTATTAAGAAACAAATAATTACTATGATAAGTCTCTTGCAGTGATTAAAATATGTTTACCCTCGCCCACTAAGCTGATTTTTGAGTGTTCAATGGGTATTACAGTTGGAAAAATATTCTCGTGTATATATAAGGTAGTAGAATTATGGGATAGGTGTATTTCATATTCCAAGTCTAATTACATTTCAAGTGTCCAGTAACTACTTGCCCAAAAGCTCCCATGTGTTATATAACAAATCTTTAATAATTTAAGGTGTGTCTGTGTGTGGGAAGTGTACCTGACTTATCTACTCTTCCTTGATTTTGTCCACAAACCAGGTCAGGAGGGATTTCATATATATTTTGCTATCACAGGATTTTTTTTGAAACAGAGAACTGTCCATCTTTTTAAAAATTATTTTATTTAATTATATTTATTTTTATTATTTTAAATTTGACCAGAGACGTTGCCCTGCTACTGTTATATTTTCTAAGTGAATTTAACTACCAAGGGGTGATTATTGGGCTTTCCTTTTTCATTTTCCTCATGGAATTTTAATTTACCACATTAAATTTAAGACTTTTTTGTCTCTCTTTAGTTTTTTGTCTCACTCCACTGGCCTCCAGAAAACTCTATCCCAAGACATGGTATAGTATTTAAAATGGTAAATTATGTCCAGAGTTACTCAAGACCTGGATTGCCAATTTCAAGGTCCAGGGTGTTACTTTTCAAACGAGATGCATTGCTCTGCATTTCTCCCCAGCCCCATATCAATGTCAGAAACCCTGACTCCTCATCTACATTCATATATCTTTATGAATTAGTCTATGTAATCTAGAAGCCAACAATAAGATTTCTTATTGGGAACTGAGACAACCAGTTTCAGACACCAAATGACAAAATGAGAAGAGAAAAATTCAGTGCCTAAAGAATGTTCTTTTGTTTATCCTAATTTGTATAAGGAATATTTTTTCCCTTTTTTAAGACAAATTTTTGCTATAGGGCATGTGCACTTGCCAGAGACACAGAAATGATCAGAGAGATAGAAAGAGAGAAATCACCCCCCTGGAGAATGACCATATTGCAATCCCTTCTCCATTCTTCTCTTGGGATTTTGCCTATGCATGCACACATGCCTGGCATGAGTTTTAAGCCACCAAGTCTGGGACTTGAACCATGGTTGACTACATGGGAATTCAGTGATGTAGCCATTACACCATTTGCTATTTTCTACGTTTCTTAAAAGATTAATGGGAAAGCACCAGATATTAGACCCACAACATCTTTTGAAGTACTTCTTCCACATTAGATCTCTTAATCCCCATAATCTCCAGCAAAATTGTCAATTCCTTGTAACAATATAGAGATTTATCTCTTAAATATCTCAATGTCTCCATCAGCCCTATGTGGCAAGGGACTTCTGCCCATAGCATGCAGTTTTTCTAAAATTCTCTCCTAATTGGAAGGAATCTGCCACCGATAGCTTTTCCTAAGGTTCCTGTAAAAAAAAAAGTACCACCAGTTACATGGCTTTCAAAACAGAAATCTTTTATTGCACAGTTCTGGAGGGTAGAAGCGTGAAGTCAAGGCTTCAGCAGGGCTGCGCATCCTCTGAGACTGCATAGACTCTGTCCTTGCCAGCTTCTAGTTTTGATATTGAATCTTTATCAGTTTTCGATTTGTAGCTACCCCACTCCAATTTCTGGTTGGTCACAAAACATTTTTTTCAATTTCTATAAGGACATTGATCATACTGAATTCCACACCACCTCAGTGGCCTCATGTTAATTAAATTACATCTGGAAAGACCTTATTTCCACAGTCCCACTTATCAGAATTAGGCCTTCAACATATCTTCAAGGGACAGGGAAGTACGTGACTACAGCTTCACCCTAGGTCAGAAGCAGCAAAGGAGTGAGAGAGGCTATAAGGATATGTGGCAGTCACAGGACATAGAACTCCTGCCTTGGTCATACTTTCATTTGTGTGTATGGTGGGTACATCTTGCAATGACAGAAACAGACATCTTAAGAGCCCTGCATTGTAGATAAATTTAATTGCTTCATTCAAACTATTACAATAACAACATATATTCAATATAAAAATTGTAGAAGTGCTATATACTCATTTTTTATACAAAAATCTTTAAAAACACATTATATATTTTTATATTACATTTCTATTGTGATTAGACACATTTTTAGATGATCAGTAGTGGGGGAAATGTGCTTTTCTTAAAATGGGGCTAGTGGCCAGCAGGTGGCATTGTGCTTAAGGTGCTAGACTTCTACATGACTGACCCTAGTTCAAGTTCCACACCTGACAGTTTAAAAATCATATGAGCATGTGTGGTCTGTGCCCAAGATTCCAGGAAAAGAATGGAGAAAGGATTGCAGTATGGCCATCTTCTTTAGGGGGTGATTTATCATTTTCCTTTTCATTGTCTCTATCTCTCCAGTAGGTGCATGTGCCCTATGACAAAAACCTTGGGGAGGGAACAGCAGTTGGTCTAATGGCTATGTCACTGGACTCCCATGTAGTCGACTGTCGTTCGAGTCCCAGACCTGGTGGTTTAAATTCATGCTGGGTGTGTGTGTGTGTGTGTGTTCCCAAGATCCCAGGAGGAGATGGAGGAGAAGGGATTGTAGTGTGACCATCCCTGCTGGGAGGTGATTACTCACTTTCTGTCTTTCTGTCTCTCTGTCTTTCTGGCTAGTGCACATGCCCTATAGCAAAAAACCTCTCAAAAATAAAAGATAAAAACCTGGGGGAAAAAAGATGAGCTATATTTTTAGAGCAGTTTTTAGTTAACAGAGATATTAGTGTCCTTTCCTCAGACCTGCCCAACAGACCTCTGCCCTTGCTTGGGGCCATCTCATAACCCAAGGTAGTGCCAGTGATAATTCTCTGTGTGGAAGGACACCCCACTAGCGGGTAGCATGACTGGAACAGCTAGACCGTGGCACTTCTGGAGGGCCATAAGTTGAGTACCTGAAGAGGTGATTGGTGACCTTTGCTCCTTGCATGGCTTTTTAAGTGGACATGAGTCACTTGGTCTTCATTTTCTGGGCCACCTAGAGATCTTTGTGCCCCAGGCAGTGACCATGACACCTGGTTTCCCCAGCTAACCATGCCACCCCACTTGAAGAAGCATGAGAGAGTTCTACCTGCTGGATGGGCAGCATTTTTTTTTCTTTTTTTGGAGAGGTTTTCACTATAGGGCGCGTACGCTCGCCAGACAGACAGAGACAGAGAGATAGAAAGTGAGAAATCACCCCCCAGGGTGGATGGCCACGCCGCAATCTCTTCTCCTCCATTCTCCTCTCGGGATCTTGGGCACACACACACGCACCTGGCGTGAGTTTTAAGCCACCGGGTCTGGGACACGAACCACGGTCGACTACGTGGGAGTCCAGTGACACAGCCATTACACTAACTGCTGGTCCCGATGGGCAGCATTTTTGAGGTTCAGGCACCGTTACTACATCTGCCCTGCATGCTCTCATTAAGGTCTTCTAGCAAACATCACAGTCACAATCACTCCCTATGCAGCCAGAAGAGGGAGAAGCAGGAGGTGCCTGAGCCGTTAGAAAGTTAGTGCAGCTGCACATCTTCTTTCTGACCATGGACATTCCAGACACCACAGCCCTCCCCAACAGGAGCCATCAGTGCTGCAAACTTCTGTCCATCTGTCTCCCAGAAAAAGGATCATCATGGTGCAAAAATGGATTGTGATACCACCTGACTTCAATGTAGTGTCTGACAATTTACAAATAGTAAATGGAAAGAAAACTTCAGGTAGAGACAGCCCAAAGGAAAATAAGGATGCCAGCTTGTTCCTGTGCACAATTGTAGAAGTAATCACATTAGCTCCTAAAAACAATTCATTACCACAGGACTGCAAATGAGGCTGGCTGAGATCAATCGGCCACTGTCTCTCTGAATCATTTTATCCCAGCACCAGGTTCCCAGGGAGAACTGGACAATGAATATTCAGGAAGATTGATTCTATATGTGAAAGCAAATTAACAATGCAGGCTTTTA